GGCCGGTATTGTCTGAATGCAATTGCATTAAGGCGGTCCCCGAAAGAGTTTCAGTTTTTGAAAGACTCAGCGCGGAGATGCCAAAACCAAGGCCTAGGCGCTTCCAACGAAGAAGAAGGGTGATTGAAGACGGAGAATTTCCGAGGGTCACCACCAACATGACGAGCAAAGGGACATCGGCACGAGAAGATTTCGAGTCGATTCTGAAAGCTTCCCGACCTAGAACCCGTCTGCAGTCCGGAACCATAGAGCGAGCAACTTATGGTAGGATTCGGACAAGACGCCCTTCAGAAGATGAAGAATCTGATGCCGGCTCCGCGGTGGCATCAGATAATACAGTATCCAGCGAGGGACAACCCCGCGAGGCCCTGATGATAAGTGCGGAGCAGATGGCCAAGATGCTTGAAGACGCTTTGGCTAAGCAGAAAGAAAGTTTCAAATTTGAGATGGAGATGGCCATGCAGCAGATGAGAGAAATGCATGACCAACAGATCCAAGCATTGGCGAACCAACAAGGCGAGCAGAATCATCGTAACCCGATTAATGTGGAAGATGAGGATACAAATGCTCGTAACACCAATGATCCTCCCGTCAACGCAGGGGGTGGTAATGAGAATGCTGGCGAAGAAACCGGCGAAAACCTGAAGATCAAGAACCTCGAGAGCAAAATCAACACACTAATTTCCGCTCAAGAGACGAAGAAAACAGGCATTCCTTGCCCATACCCAAGAGAATGGGAATCGATCCCATTTACATATGAATTCAATCATATACAAGAGCTCAGTTATATACAAGTTCGAATTTGAATCATATACAAGAGTGCAACCATATGCAAGGGTTTAATCACATGTACAAATTCAAGGCACATGCAAGAGAATAGGAAGAAAACTTACCCAAGTTCTTGAAGCTTAAAAGGGGAAGAAGAGCTCAAATCGACGAAACCCTAGCCTTGAATCTTCCTCTTTTGCTCAAATCCGAATTAGAAGAAGGAGGAAATAGGGGTTTTAAAGAAGGGGGAAGCTTTGATTTCGTTTGGAATTCTTGAGGAAGAAGAAGTCTTGAAGAGTTAGGACTCAATGAGGAAGAAACCGAAAGTCTAAAGTTGGGGACTAGGAAGCTGGAACCGAATAAAGGAAGAAGAAGAAACATCGTTTTTTTTATTTGTTTTTTTTTCCCCCATCCGACCCGCGTTCCGCGGGTCGGATTGATGTCCGACCCGCGTGCTCGCGGGTCGGATTAATCCGACCCGCGATCACGCGGGTCGGACCTATCTGACCCGCGTGAACGCGGGTCAGACCCAGTTCAAGGCCCGTTTCGCAGTCTTTTCGTCCGTTTTCGTCCGTTTTCGAAATTTTCGAAGCTTAACCTCATATCCCGGACAATTTCATGGTGTTTTTGCTCATATTTGGAATGTTCAGAGTTCGACTTCATTTCCCGGATAATTGAGCGGCATTTTCAGTCAAATTGGGAATTTTCGGAGTTCCATTCCGTATCCCAAATAATTGCGAGATATTTTCGTCTATTTCCAGAATATTCGAGACCCAATTTTATATTTTAGGTGATTTCGTGATTTTTCACCTATTTTGGAATATTCGGGACCCAATTTTATATTTTGGGTGATTTCGCGATATTTTCGCCTTTTATCGAATCTCGATATCTAAACTCCAACGGGTACATGAGTCTAAACTGTTTCCCATTTTTACGGGAAGTTCCTAGAGAATATTACAGATAATAATTCTTAAGGATAACCTGGCAACCTCCGACGGGTACACGAGGTTAAACTGATTCCCGAAACTCCCAGGAGTACACGAGTATAAACTGGTTCTCCTCAGGTTAACGCGAAACCCTAAGGTCAACGCCGGTCAACGTTTAGCCCTAGGTCAGCGCCGGTCAACGCGTTGCGATGAAAGTCAACGCCGATCGATTCGAAACCCTAAGATCAACGCCGGTCAACGCGTAGCCCTAGGTCAACGCCAGTCAACGCGTTGCAATTGATCCAAAAGTCAACTCAATAACATATCAACAAAAAAAAATCCCCTCACCAATTCCGGTTCAAGGCTTCAACAACGGTCAGACGATAAACGCAGTACCGAGAAAATCTTAGCTATTCGACAAAATACAGAATACGCTAAAATATGGAGAAGTCAAGAATCGAAACCATCTGTAGGTCCTTTAACACCGACTGAAGGTGGGGATCCATCATATCCAAAGCGTTTCAGACTCCTCTATAAAAGAATGAGGCTGAAACACTTTGGAGGGGGTATCTGTAGGCGTCTAAAATTGTCTACGAGAGCCCACACGAAACTCGAAGCAATGAATGGGCGAGTCAAGAAGATTCGTCAAACCAACTCGTGCGCGTCGGTCAAACGCGTGCACGTCAATCAACTCGTGCGCGCCAGTCAACGCATCGATCAGCACGCGTATGTTAACCAACGCGCGTTCGACGATCGGTCTCGCGACGAAGCATACAAGTCAACAAATCGAACGAATACGCAACAAGAACAAGTCCCGGAAGAAAGAAACAAAAAAAAAAGGGAGAACGTCGGCGAACCCGCGCTAAGCGCAGGACGGAATGATCCGACCCGCGCAAGCGCGGGACGGATCAATCCGACCCGCGCAAGCGCGGGTCGGATGATTCCGACCCGCGCATGCGCGGGTCGGATTATTCCGACCCGCGCAAGCGCGGGTCGGATTATTCCGACCCGCGCGAGCGCAGGTCAGATTTTTCTGCCGCGCAGTCTAATGTCTCAAACACGTTTTGACGGTTTTTAATTGGTTTTTTACAGGGTTTATCGGTTCCAGGGGTTCTTAACTGACTTGGGATCATCCCCAAACGTGGTTAGGCTGCTGTTGACTGAAGATAGAGCCAAATCCCTTGTTCTTATCCAAATAACTGCATTTTGAGGCCTATAAATATGAACCAAAGGCCTCCATTTTCTGGATCTGGAATCTTATCAAGAGGACGAGGTGCTGCTGGATTGGAGAGTGAAGGAGCACGAAATTTCAGCAAAGGACAGCGAGATCCCGGTGAACTTCGGAGCAAAGGAGAAGCCGTTCGAAGGATCTGAAGCTCGTACGTCCGTTCCTTGAGATTAGGCTTTGTCTTAATCTCGAGAAGAGCCCTGAAATCGCTTTGTCGATTCCAGGACTTCAAGCAAATACCCCCTTGGTGAGGTAGAAGCTCTGCCCAATTTTCTGCAACCGGATCTGATTCGAGGTCGTCCACGGATTAACCCCGGCACCGGCGAAGAACCCACGCAAGCAAGAGCCGATAAACGGATCTTGCGTTTATTTTCAAGAAAGTTGTAATCTTTTGTTCTTTTGTTATTTGAATTCATTTGTAACGCTTAAAGTTTAATGAATCAATGACTAAGGTGACTTTCGACGGAAACACCTTCTAGTGTTAAACCGATAAGCTACAAATGGATTTATAAGGTCAAGACTCGATCTGACGGTTCTATTGAGCGATATAAAGCTCGTCTTGTAGCTCATGGATTCTCACAAGGGTATGGTATTGACTATGAAGAGACTTTTGCTCCTGTTACAAAAATGACATCCATTCGCACTCTCATTGTTGTTGCAGCTACAAAACATTGGCCTTTGTATCAAATGGATGTTAAAAATGCTTTTCTTAATAGTGATCTGCCTGAGACAGTATACATGCAGCCACCTCCTGGTTTTCCTGCTCCTCTAGGACATGTCTATCGCCTTCGTCGTGCTATATATGGTCTCAAACAGGCTCCTCGGGCTTAGTTTGAATATTTTCGACAAATTGTTCTTTCTATTGGTTTCATTGAAAGCCTAGCTGACTACGCTCTATTTTATCGGTCCTCAGCCTCCAGTACAGTCATTCTATTACTTTATGTTGATGACATGATAATCACTGGGAGTGATTCCTCTACCATTACTTCCTTAAAGCAACATCTTCAGAGACAATTTGAGATGAAGGATCTTGGATCCCTTCATTACTTCTTGGATATTGAAGTTGCTTCCTCATCTCGTGGCTATCTTCTCTCTCAGCAGAAGTACATTGCAGACATTCTTGAACGTGCTACTCTCAATGATCCTTCCATTGCTATCACTCCTCTCTCCACACCGATGGAAATGAACTTGAAGCTTCAACATGATGATGTTGATCCCTTATCTCAGCCTACTCGATATCGGGAATTTGTCGGAGCATTGGTTTATCTTTCAGCAACACGTCCGGATATCGCCTATGTAGTACACATCTTGAGCCAATTTGTCAGTAGTCCAACTTCCATTCACTACGCAGCTCTCATTCGGGTTCTTCAATATCTCCTGGCACTATAACTCGATCATTATTTTTCCCCATACTCTTCTTTGTCTCTTCATTCATATTCTAATGCTGGATGGGTTGATGATGCAGACACTTGACGTTCCTCTACTGTTTTTTGTATTTTTCTGAGTTCATCTCTCATCTCTTGGCGTAGTAAGTGTCAAGCCGTTGTTTCTCGTTCTAGTACGGAGTTCGAGTACAAGGTGTTGGCAGACACCACAATTGAGCTGAAATGGCTCTGCACTCTTCTGCGAGATCTTGATGTCTTTATTACTTCCCCTATTACTTTATACTGTGATAATCAGAATGCAATCTCAATTTCTACAAATCCGGTATTTCATGAACGTACCAAACATATTGAGGTGGATTGTCTTGTGGTTCGACAGGAGCATGTTGCTAGAAACATTACACTCTCATATGTTCCCTCTAAGAAACAAGTGACAAATTTATTTACCAAGGCTCAAACCATTTCTGTGTTTCGCTATTTCTTGTACAAACTCTCGGTGTTCGATCCACCGTGAGTTTGAAGGGGGTGTTAGATAATATCATGAGCCACTAGCCACACTATATGTGTATAGTCGCCTCAGCCGCCTCCTAATGTGTAGCCGCCTCAGCCGCCTCCTAGTGTGGGCTACTGTTTGTGTATAATGCGGGCTACTATTTGTGTATATATGCCCTGTAAATCTGATCATCAAATAGCCAGTTCTCTTCAATACCAATTTAACACTATATTTAAATTTCTACATCACTTTTCTCCCTCTCTTTCATGACTAACACCCAAAAAAAAAAAAAAAGATAAAAGGGATCCATCAAAGCTTAGAACTGAAGAACAGAATCTGAAAACAACAACATTTACATTCTACAATCTACTGCCTTTCAATTTGGATGGTAACATGACTGATATTATACGCCCTCTTAATAAACCCTATCACTCTATCCAACACTATATCTGCATCAGCCTCGGGCAATATCGTTACGTGACACGCTAATAAAACTTTACCGACTGTAATGGCCCAAATATGCAACTCATGAATAGCCACCACTCCCTCAATTGTACATAACCCCATCTCGAGGCTAGTTGCATCAATCTCTCTCGGTGTGCTCTCCATCAAAACCTCGAGTATGCTCCTCAACATGTTGATGGTGGTCACAAGCACAATCACAGAAAAGAATAGAGTGCAGATGAGGTCTATGATCTTCCATTCTGGCTTGTACCAAATTATTGCTCCTCCGATCATGACTCCTATGCTCTGGATTGAGTCTCCGAGAACATGGAGGTATGCACTGTGCACATTGATGTTTTTCTGGTGTTTCATCTGACTTGATTCATTTGATGCAGGACTCAAGAGAAGAGGACTTTGCACCTCCTCGTGCTCGTGCTCGTGTTTCTCTCCCTCGGGATGATGGTGATGATGGTTATCATGAGTAGTGATGGTAACTGTATGATCAGGATCATGGTCATCATGATGGTGACCATGGCCATGTCCATGACCATGATCATGATCATGACCATGACCATGACTGTGACCATGAGCATGGCCATGTTCATGACCGAGCATGACAGCCATGATGATGTTTACGAACAAGCCAAAGGCAGAGACTGCGAACATCAGAGAGCCCTGAACCTCACCACTGTCATGAATAATTCTCAGAATAGCTTGGTAGACTAAAATCCCAGCTAAGACCCAAATAAGCTGAATAGAAACCAAAGCTCCAAGAATCTCTACTCGAAAGAATCCATAAGATTGTCTCGGTGTTGCCTCCCATCCCGACGCCCAGAGAGAGAAGAGAGAGATTGCGAAGGCTGCAACATCAGAAAGGAGATGAGCAGCGTCAGTTAGGATTGCGAGGCTGTTGGCTTTGATTCCACCAACCACTTCAACAGCCATAAAGATGACACAGAGAGCAACTGCCATTAGAAGCTTTCTCATGGATGTTGATTTCTCCTTGGCATCTTTTGAGCTCATCTTAGAATCTGAGAAATCGCAAGAAGCACCTTTGCAAATCTTTTTGGTGGCCAAGCTAGGCTTCCGATGAAGAAGTGGAAGACGCACAAAAGGCTTTCTACAAAGTCCCGTCCAAAAGGAAAGGGCAGGAGCCGATCCAATTCGGTAGAGTCAAACCCGAACAACTTAAGCGAGGAAGTTCAGAGGAAGATGACGGAGTTCCTCAGTTTCCCACTTCAACAGCCATAAAGATGACACAGAGAGCAACTGCCATTAGAAGCTTTCTCATGGATGTTGATTTCTCCTTGGCATCTTTTGAGCTCATCTTAGAATCTGAGAAATCGCAAGAAGCACCTTTGCAAATCTTTTTGGTGGCCAAGCTAGATGTGGTCGGGGTGACATCCATGTTGACCTCAATGATTTGCGTTGGCTGAGAGGTCTGGGCCTCCATCTGTAATCAAGGAAAATATTGATCAATACAAGTATCTCGATACATAGTTGCATTTGGACACGGGATCACTATTGTAATTACAACATAAACCTTTCTTGATTTTGAATTTAGCCTTTAAAGCCATCTGATCTTTTAATTTCGCTCAGCACTTGCCTAGTTGAACTTGTTTAATAGTTGAAATTAACTATCATGATTGAAGTTGACTTATAGCAGCCATGTCTTCCTTCTAGCTACGAAATTGTCGTGTTTTCATAGTTTTTCAACCAGAAAATTTGACGAGAACATGATTCAACATTTTTTTTACATAGGTTTTACAGTTGATATATTAATACCATGTTGATTTTACTTCTTCAGAAGAAGAAAATTCACATTTTATGATTAACAGTGGACTTAATACTGTGGATAACCAGAATTCCCAGCTCAGCCCCTACTTTGATATACAAATATATCAATGACAAAAAAGATCCATTGTTGCATTTAGAAGAAAAGAACAAAAGTATACACAAGGAAATATCATTGGTTGCATTAAGACCGACATAAATAAATGAAGATTGATAATAAATATCCAGAACTGTTGGAAACTTGATATGCAAAATGCAACTTAAAGTAACATTTATGAAATTGAATTGAAAGTGACTGGAGTTAGCCAGATTAAAGATATAGATAGAAGAGTGTAGTTGACAAAAATTACCTATGGGTTGCCGCACGCAGCTCAAGACAGAGAAAAGACGATAAATATCATTATCTGAGTCAAGGAGAATTATCTGACGTCGACAAGCAAATGAAGCGAGCCGACGAAGCGTACGAACCAACGGGACGACAGAATGACGAAGAAACGATCCGATCGGGAATTATGTTTCACTCACGAAAGACAAAGCGCCACTCATGTATTGTCCACTCCACATATGATTTACTTATGGGAGGTTGTAGATCTCGTCTCCGGCTTTCCGACGCACTTTGAATCGCCTCTTTCTGAGGTCGGACGAGAAAGTTAGAGCTAAAATACCCAAGATAGTCTAGACTATTTCGCACCTGCGAGACACCAATTGTGTCTCGCACATTTTGACCATAATACGATTCGAATCCGAAGAATCTCAAAAGACAAAAGTTGTAGGTATCTTTGTCAGCTTTCTAACGCATCTTGAATTATCTCATTCTGAGGTCGGACGAAAAGTTAAGACCAAAATACCCGAGACAGTCCAAGCTGTCTCGGACATGTACGAGACAGACGAAGTGACTCGCGACCAGGTCATCTCCCGACGTGTTTTCTGATAAGATTGGCTTCTAGAACTCCTTGGGGTCATCCATAAACATGTGAGGCTATCCTTAAATGTGTGGAAGTTGTTACATAACCGAAAACCCACCTAAACGGATAATAACGGTTGTTCTTCGACCCTATCCACAAACACGGTATTCCTATCCACAAACACGACATTTAAAGCCTATAAATACACACCCTAGCACCCTCATAAAGGCAGATCTGAAGAGAGCCATGAATTTTAGAGGAGCTAGGACGAGGTTCTGACGAATTTCAGAGAGGCTAGCAGATCTTGGCGAAGTTCTTCAGCATAAAGTGGGAGAGTTCGAATGATCTAAGGCCCGTCCCCCTTCCTCCGGATCAAACTTGGCTTTGATCTCGAGAAGAGTCTTAATCTCACTTGGTCGAGATTATCACTCTCGCTTAGTCGAGATTATCACTTCTGCGATTACTTCCTTTGTGAAGTAAGAGCTTTTAATAATTACTTTGTCAACCGGATCCGATCCGTAGGCAGTCCACGGACTAACGCGTCCCCAACACAGGTGAAGATCCCATGCAAACAGAGACTAATAATAGGATCTGTGTATTGTTTGATAAAGTTATAATCTTTAATTTTCATTATGTAAAAAGATCTTATAAAAAGATTAATTTTTTTTTTGGATTTGTAATCGATAAACGATTATAACAGGTTCAATGAAAATAAAAAAGACAACTTTCGTACCAAACACGCTGGTGACCACTGTGGGAGCCAACAGTCTCGTTACCGAGTCTATCGTGCCGCAACCGAATATCAAGATCCCGATTGATTTAGAGGTCGAGTACGAGTTCGACAAAGCTAAATTCGAGGAATATTTCGCCTCGTCTTCATCAAAATCCTCCTATCCCTGCAAGTGCAAAAAGATCACGTCTTTGAAGGAAGCGTATTCGTCGATAAAGGCTACAAATGACTCTGCTCGTCACAACCCCTCTCCATTCAAGGAGTTATCCAATCAAGGTACGTCAACTCTGACGAAGAGGGCTCGTCAGAGGCGACGCCAATGCCAAGCTCATCAAATTGCCAAGGCTTTAGAACAAGTCGATGAAGTTCGCTACTACACAGACTTGGAGTCTAGGAAGCGTCATTCAATCCAGCCGCCTCAACAGTAAGTTGCTGACAAATCCTCCAAGCCGTCGATGGAAGAATTGATCATTGTCAAAAGAAATCGTTCAACCTTAAAGGAGCGCATCCAAAAGCGACTTGCACGTACCGGACGCGGGCGTGCCTTTGTGCGAAAGACACAAGGCATGAATAAGAAAGAGGTGACAAAAAAACCACCAAAACTATGCTAAGTCTGGAGGCCAAAGTCTAAAACAACGACCGAAAAGATCGGAATTTCCGAGTCACTTCAGAGTGACTCGGCCAAGCGTAGGTCACTCCAGGGTGACTCGCGCCAAGCTCGAGCCACCTCAATGTGTCTCGCACCTAATTCACCTGCCGCAGCCGTTTCTTCGCTTCTGTCGAGTCTTATTCCTGTTCTAATCAATCCCGCACCTCCGACGAAGCCCTACGGCAGCGTGGATCTATCCAAATTTAAGATTCCGATGAAAGATCGCCTGAGTCCTCTACATGAAGATCGAGGCAAAACTCCGGTGAATAAAACTCGAGTAGTTCCTCAGGTTGGGGTCGTACAAACACTCCTGTTAAGCCAAAGACCGCTCAAAGGTGTCCCGCCGTCTCCAAACAAACCGGGGCACCTTATTGCACGTGTTCGTGAGCCGTGCACAAGAGGACTCCTGGCATTTATCGCCTGGGGGTTCGTATTGGAACCTAGGAGTCTGTTAAGACCTCACGCTCGCAAGGGGATGGTTCTAATTGTGCGACTCCTGATGTGACCTTGGATCATTCAAATGCGACAACGAATCGTCTCGAAAATATCAACAAGGTTCTTCATCCCCAAAAGAAAACGTGTTCGTCAAAAGACAACGTTATACTTAGGGTATCACACCAATAAGTGATGGATTGCTCCAATGAGATGCACCATCAGGCTAGGGGTGTGAACAAATCTCAAAAGAAGGATGTCCAAGAAACTAACTCTTACTGTCCATGTAAGCTGTGCATATCACAGGAGGGTCCATCACTCCACCAAGACTTGTATTATGCTGCAAACAACATTCAAGTCTTGGTTGACGTCTGCATCATAACGTCGAAAGATGCCAAATGAGAACGGCTTCCTCCGACAAGTATATGATGTTGAACTACTCCCGTCCTCCGATAGGTATATGAAGTTAAACTGCTCTCATCCTCCGATATGTATATGAGATTAAACTGCTCCCATTCTTCGATGAGTATAAGAGGTTAAATTGCTTCTCTGTGATACTCTAATGGGTATAAAAGTCTAAACTGTTTCCTACCCTAAATGAGAAGTTTCTGGAGAATATTATACAAAATATTCTTAAGGAGAACCTGACGATCTCCGACGGTATATGAGGTTAAACTAATTCCTGAAACTCCTAGGAGTATACGAGTATAAACTGGTTCTCCTCGCTCAAACGTCTTAAGAGCTTAAACTGTGTAGATTCCAGTTAACGTATGAGTATAAACTGTGTTTACGCCGATCAACGCATGACGAAGAAGTTCGACGCGAGTCGACACCATTCGACGTCTGCCAACGCCAATTAACGCGTGGTAATGAAGGTCAACGCTAGTCAAAACATTGCAAGGAAAAGTCAACGCTAGTCAACACATTGCGATGAAGGTTAATGTGTCGACAATTTTTAGCCGAAACAAAACTCAGATTAATTTTAGGTCAAAGGATAATCCCAGGGAGTTTAATCGTAATTCAGATATGAATCCCCGACGAAGATAGTCAGTTCAACATCGACTCAACGACACGAGCTAAGATCAGAAACCAATACACCAGTTTCAGTTCGAGGCTTCAACAACGGTCAGACGATAAAGACAGCACCCACAGAATCTTAACTATTCGACAAAATACTGAATAGACTGAGAATTAAAGAAGTCAAGAACTGAAACTAATTACAAGTCCTTTTACACCGATTGAAGGTGAGACCTATCACATCCAAAATATTTCAGACTCTTCTATAAAAAAAACGAGACTGAAACACTTTGGGGGGAAAACTATAGGCATCAAAAATTACCTATGGGTTCCCGCACGTAGCTCGAAATGAAGAAAAGATGATAAATATCATTATCTGAGTCTAGGAGGATTATCTGACGTCGACAAGTGAATGAAACGAGTCGACGAAGCGTAAGAACCAACAGGACGACAGAATGATGAAGAAACGATCCGATAGGGAATTACGTTTCACTTACGAAAAACGAAGCGCCACTCGTGTATTGTCCACTCCATATATGATTCACCTATGGGAGGTTGTAGATCTCGCCTCTGGCTTTCCGACGTACTTTGAATCACCTCATTCCGAGGTCGGACGAGGAAGTTAGAGCAAAAATACCCAAGATAGTCCAGCCTGTTTCGCACCTGCGAGACACTAATTATGTCTCGCACATTTTGACCATGATACGATTCGAATCTGAAGAATCTTAAAAGACAAAAGTTATAGGTATCTTTATCAGCTTTTTAACGCATTTTGAATCATCTCATTCCGAGATCGGACGAAAGAGTTAAGACCAAAATACCAGAGACAGTCCAAGCTGTCTCAGTCATGTGCGAGACAGTCGAAGTGACTCGCGACCAGGTCAGCTCCCGACGTATTTTCTCATAAGATTGGCTTCTAGAACTTCTTGGGATCATCCATAAACATGTGGGGTTATCCTTAAACGTGTAGAAGCTGTTACATAATCGAAAACCCGCCTAAACGGATAATAACGGTTGTTCTTCGACCCTATCCACAAACACGATATTCTTATCCACAAACACTACATTTAAAACCTATAAATACACTCCTAGAACCCTCATAAAGGCAGATCTAAAGGGAGCCACGAATTTTAGAGGAGCTAGGACGAGATTCTGACGAATTTCAGAGAGGCTAGCAGATCTTGGCGAAGTTTTTCAGCATAAAGAGGGAGAGTTCGAAGGATCTGAGGTCCGTCCTCCCCTTTTCTTTGGATCAAACATGGTTTTGATCTCGAGAAGAGTCGTAATCTTGCTTGGTCGAGATTATCACTTCTGCGATTACTTCCTTTGTGAAGTAAGAGCTTTTAATAATTACTTTGTCAACCGGATCCGATCCGTAAACGGTCCACGGACTAACGCGTCCCCTACACAGGCGAAGATCTAACGCAAACAGAGACTAATAAATAGAATCTGTATATTGTTTGATAAAGTTGTAATCTTTAATTTTCATTGTGTAAGAAGATCTTATAAAAAGATTAACTTTTCTTTTTTGAATTTGTAATCAATAAACGATTGTAACAGGTCAATGACAATAAAAAAAGCAACTTTCGAACCAAACAAAGAGATGCTGCACTAAATCCCTATAATCTGCACAAGCTTTTGATGCACTTCAGTTCAAGAACAGAAAAGTTGTAATCTTTTTTTTTCTTGGCAATAAGTTCTATGTTTCAGACTATCAGATCAAAAATGCAAAAGAATTGTTGAGATCTTCCTATTGTGATTGTTGTAGACACATCCGATAATCAGAGCATTAGACGATGAGCATCTTTTGGAAAAATCTTAGTCCATCTTTATTCTCATCAAAAAAATTTCCGACTCCCGATATTGTAGGTATGTGAGTTCATTCACTCCATGATCATACTAGTAGTAGTTTTGACTATAAACATTAATAGGCATGAACTTCTACAGTACACAATATATGTTACCGAAGGATATTAACTAGTACAACAGCAGCATAGGTTCTAATTTTACTTACTACCTCATACGAAAAATAAACTAATAAACAACCACCAGAAGCTTCAAAGTAATTTTGTCAAATAGTTACATGAATCAGAAGATTCAAACAGTACATAGTTTAATTATTTCAATAATCAGTGACATGAACCAATCCCCTTAAAGCTAAAGAACCATAACAACACATTATATAATGGATGGTAACCACAATAATGGATGACAAATTTTCATAATAAACATAGAGCTATAAACTGAGATGGTGTAATTCTTTTTAAATCAAAGTCTAACAGTAGAAATAATTCCTAAAACTGGCTAAATTATTGAGCTAAAATTCAACTTAAAAAATTATAATAAAAAAACAAAAGAACTATAACCCAAAATATATTGAAACATTGTGTTATTTAACTTGTCCGTCAATTTTAAAATTTATGCTTTTCTTATAGCTGTGATTTTTAAATTATTGCAGACATTTATACTAGAACCGTGCCTAACCCTAAATTTGAAGGTGGAATGGGTACATCAGCGAGGCGTATAGGAAAATATACCATTATATCCAAAAGATAATAGATAAGGTAATCGATCAAATGAGGAAGAAAATGCATGATCATGTTTATTCACCAATCATAAGAATCATTTGCTAATAGAAGATGGCCTCTTCACAAACTCTATATGCCAATGCAAAAATCAATTCTTTGGAGCATAAATCCACACAATCTTCATCCTTAAACACAAAGATGAATTGAGAAATTAAGGGCCCTCAGCTACATTACATTCAAACAAAACTGCACCCAAAATAATTGATAAAAACATCAAATTTGGTTAAAGGCAAACAAATCACTTACTCATCCAAATGAAAAGAGACCCAACGATGAATTCGCAATGAAGAATTCTATATTTCCTCAAATAAAGGAATTGCGACCCCAATAGAAGGGAGAGCTCTCAAAAGCCGCACTATAAATAAATAGGTCGGAAAAAATAAAACCCATGAATAAAAATTCACCAAATAATAGAAATTTAATATAAATAGCTGGATTGAAATAAAAATAAATTGGAAACTTACCTCAAAAAAGAAAAGGAGAGAAGGGTTTTCTCTGAGTTTGAGAGAGAGACAGAGAGAGAGAAGGATATTTGTTTTATAATGGCCACAAAAACAATAGAGGGGATGAAACAAGTTGCATCAATAATTGGAAACTATGTAATTGGTTTGGAGAAATACCCTTACATATATGGACAAAATAAAAATGTTCCATACTGGGCCCAACTCTGAGCGCACGCTGTCCGCTTGGCACTAATAGAGGTGACGATGAATTTGGGTTTGCGAATTAAATGGTTCAAACAAAATGTCTAAAAAGGACAAAAAATGTATAAAAAAGGAAAAATTACTTCAAGTCTCAAAAATTCAAGTTTCAAAGTGCCACAGTCTCTCATATTTTTTAAATGTGCTCCAGCCCCCTTTTTTTGAAAAAACTGTGTGTAGGGCCCTCCATCATGATTCCAGCTTATGATTAGACATGTCAGTTCATGATTAGATATTTCAGCTCCTAAAATTCTAATTTTACAATTTCTCTTTCTCATGACAGTTCATCCCAGCTCATGTTAACCATTATAGATAACATGTTAAATGTTATATATAACATGTTAACTATTATAATTTCATAAATATGTTTTGAACTCAATGTGTGAACTGTAATAGTTAACATGTTAACTATAATAGTTAACATGAGAAGCGAAGTTCCTCGGGACAGTGCCGGCGACGGAGCGGGGGAGGGAGGTAGGGGAGGGGGGCGGAGGAGGAGGAGAGAGGTGTAAGGGGGAGTGCAGCGGGAGGGAGTAGGAGAAGGGAGGGAGGCGAGCGGGGAAGGGAGGTGTAGGAGGGGAGGAGGGCGGACGCGGAAGGGAGGCGAGCGGTGGGAAGGGAAGTGGGGAGGGGAGGCGAGGCAGAGCTGGAAGGGAGGCGAAGGAGGGGGCTGGGGCGAGACCGGAGGAGGAGGGAGGTGTAGGAGGAAAGAGGGGAGGGGAGGAGCATGAGTTGGGTAAGGGAGGCAGGGGATAGGCGGGGAGACCGGAGGAGAGGAGGGAGGTGGAGTGGGGAGGGAGGCGAAGTTAGAATTGGCGGGTGGAAACCAACCTCCGCCGGCGAACGAGGAGCCCGACGAGCTCGGAGATGACGCTGGCGAAATCGACGGCGAAACCACCCATGGCGGACGCTCGAGCCCCGCAGTCCTCGAACAGCAACCTCGACGAACGCGATCCTTCCGGCGATACGCGACCTCGAGCGAACGCACCCTCGAGCTAACGCAACGCCTACGGGAACGCACGCCCTCGCGTCGAGCTGAATGCTCGGCGTGCGGGCGACAGGCTAATCGCAAGCACTGTTCTACGTCCGCCTAATATAAAACGCCCTGCCATATGCCCTAGGGTTTTTTATCAGGCCGAAGATTTATCCGCCCTTTCCGATTTATTGCTTCTGGCGGACGGCACAAAAATCGCAAAGGCACCGATTTTGGCTTTCTCTCCTCCGATACTCTCTCCCTCGGCGTGGATTTCTTCCAGCGGCGGCGTCGGATACCAAATCGCAGCAGCGATTTTCTTTTCGTCATTTAACTCCCAGCCTCTTCAATTGTTTGAGGGGAGTTTAAGAAAAAGAAATTAAGGAGAGAGAAAAGAGAAGAGGGGTTTTATATTGTGTGATTTTATTTAATCTCAAGTGAGATTTGAAAGGGTTCATACCCTTTAATTATTAACACTGTAGCTACAAGTGTTTCAGTTGAGAAATCTCAGTTTAGGGATTTGCTCTTAAATTGTAATTTCTTGTTTGATTAATAAGAAATTAACTGTGTGGCTCCCGAGGACGTAGGCAGTTGCCGAACCTCGTTAAAACTTGGTGTACTTTTTCTATTCTGCGTTTCTGTTGCAATTAGGGTTTTAGCGTTATATTCCCAACAACTGGTATCAGAGAGTAAAACGATCTAGAGGAAGTCAGATACAAGTGGGAGCCATGGCCGCAGATGAAGGGAAAATAAGACTTGAGAAATTTGATGGAACAGATTTTGGATTCTGGAAAATACAGATAGAGGATTATCTGTATCAGAAAAATCTGTATCAACCACTATCGGGGAAGAAGCCGGATTCTATGAAGGAAGAAGAGTGGAACCTTCTAGATAGACAAGCCCTCGGAGTTATCAGATTGACGTTGACTCGCAATGTTGCGTTCAACATAGCGAAGGAGAAGACCACTTTGATGCGGCGGTTATTCCATCTGAAAATAGCGGAAGGCGCGTCAGTAGCACAACACCTCAATGAACTTAATACGGTTACAACCCAATTGAGTTCTGTTGAGATTGAGTTTGATGATGAAGTTCGGGCGTTGATACTTTTATCTTCCCTACCAGAGAGTTGGAACGCTACAGTCACAGCTGTGAGTAGCTCGTCGGGAAACAATAAGTTGAAGTTCGACGACGTTCGTGATTTGGTTCTCAGTGAGGAGATCCGACGGAGAGAAACGGGTGAAGCTACAACCTCTTCAGTATTGCATACAGAGTCAAGAGGTAGAAATTCAACCAGAGGAAACGGACGAGGAAAATCAAACTTCAGAGGTAGATCAAAGGACAGGAGGTCCAAATCAAGGAATCCAAGCAATAGCTCGAAGGCTATCGAGTGTTGGAATTGTGGAAAGACCGGGCATTACAAGAATCAGTGCAAGAGTGCACAGAAAGAGAAGGAGGCAAAGGCAGAGGTGAATGTCACATCCACTTCAGGAGGAGACGACGCATTGATATGCTCTTTGGAGAGCAAGGAGGAATCTTGGGTGTTAGATTCAGGAGCGTCGTTCCATGCTACCTCTCAGAAAGAATTCTTCGAGAAGTATACCCCCGGAAATCTTGGATACGTATATCTTGGTGATGATCAACCATGTGCTATTGTGGGCAAAGGCGTGGTGAAAATTAAGTTGAACGGGTCAGTATGGGAGCTGAAGGATGTCAGGCATATTCCCGACCTGAGAAAGAATTTAATATCCGTAGGCCAGTTGGCTGGCGAAGGATATACCACGACCTTCCATGGAGATGATTGGAAGATCTCAAAGGGCGCAATGACGATTGCCCGAGGCAGGAAGACTGGTACCCTATATATGACAGCAGGTGCACGTTGTTCGATCTCAGTTGCAGCAGGCAATGAGACTTCAAAGCTGTGGCACCAGAGACTCGGTCATATGAGTGAAAAGGGGATGAAAATCATGCACACAAAGGGAAAACTCCCAGGACTGCAGTCAGTGGAGATGGATATGTGTGAAGAATGTATACTTGGAAAGCAGAAGAGAGTCAGCTTTCAGACAAGTGGCAGAACCCCCAGGAAGCAGAAGCTAGAGCTCGTTCACTCAGATGTTTGGGGACCAACAACCACCGCGTCCATTGGTGGAAAACACTACTTCGTGACTTTTATCGATGATCACTCTCGGAAAGTGTGGGTCTACTTTCTGAAGCATAAGTCAGAAGTATTTAAAGCTTTCAGGAGATGGAAAGCTATGGTCGAGAATGAGACGGGTCTGAGAATAAAAAAGCTCAGGACCGACAATGGTGGTGAGTATGAAGACACCGGATTCAAGAAGTTCTGCTATGAGCACGGGATCAGAATGGAGAGAACCGTGCCCGGCACGCCTCAGCAAAATGGTGTAGCTGAGCGGATGAACCGAACGTTGACAGAGAGAGCCAGAAGCATTCGAGTACAATCAGGCCTACCGAAGCAGTTCTGGGCAGAAGCGGTCAACACAGCAGCTTACTTGATCAACCGAGGTCCATCGGTTCCATTGGAGCACAGAATACCAGAGGAGGTATGGTGCGGAAAGGAGGTAAAACTCTCACATCTAAAAGTTTTCGGTTGTGTAGCTTACGTGCATATTAGTGATCAAGACAGGAATAAGCTTGATCCCAAGTCAAAGAAATGCACTTTCATCGGCTATGGTGAAGATGAGTTCGGCTACCGCATTTGGGAAAACGAAAACAAGAAGGTGATCCGGAGCAGAGATGTGATATTCAACGAGAAGGTGATGTACAAGGACATGCACAAGACAGATGACTCAGAGAGCGAGTCAATATTTGTAGATGCAGATGATGTCCCGAGTAACCTCTCGGAAGAACCCAATGCAGAGGGTCCTCAGCAAGAAGAGCCTGTTGGACAAGATGGTGCGCAGGAGCCCGACGCACCAGCTCCGATATTAAGAAGATCTTCTCGTCCTCCTGTACCCAACAGGAGATACATGAACTATCTGTTGTTGACAGATGGTGGGGAGCCTGAAAGCTTTGATGAAGCTTGTCAGTGTGGAGATGCGAGCAAGTGGGAGCTTGCAATGAAAGATGAGATGAAGTCTCTCATATCAAACCAGACGTGGGAACTAGCTGAGTTGCCCACGGGTAAGAAGGCACTCCACAACAAATGGGTGTACCGGGTGAAAGAGGAGCAGGATGGTTCCAGAAGATATAAAGCCCGGCTAGTTGTCAAAGGTTTCCAGCAGAAGGAAGGAATTGACTACACCGATATTTTCGCTCCCGTGGTGAAGCTAAATACTATCAGGACCGTGATGAGTATTGTAGCAATTGAAGATCTTCATCTCGAGCAGTTAGACGTGAAGACGGCGTTTCTTCACGGAGATCTAGAAGAGGAGATATACATGCACCAGCCAGAAGGTTTCTCAGAAGAAAAGAAGAAAAAGAACCTGGTGTGCAGACTCAAGAAGAGCTTGTATGGCCTGAAACAAGCCCCAAGACAGTGGTACAAGAAGTTTGACGGCTTCATGCACAAGGAAGGTTTCCAGAAGTGCAACGCCGACCACTGTTGCTACTTCAAAAGATATCAGTCCAGCTATATCATCCTACTGCTGTATGTTGATGATATGTTGGTTGCAGGAGCAGATATGAAAGATATCAAGAGTTTGAAGCAGCAGCTGTCAAAGGAGTTTGACATGAAGGACTTGGGTCCAGCGAAGAAGATCCTTGGAATGCAAATCACGAGAGATAAGAAGAGAGGTCTCTTGCAGTTATCTCAGACGGAGTACATCAACCGTGTTTTGCAGAGATTCAACATGGGCGACGCCAAGCCTGTGAGCACACCCTTGGCCAGTCATTTTCGCTTATCGAAGGATCAGTCTCCTCAGTCAGAAGAAGAGAAAGAGAGTATGGCTC